ATTTGGCTGACATGGGATTAAATTTCGATAAGCATTTATAATTCATTGGAATCAATATATTCCTAGAAATCAGCTAAACATATTTGTTTGTGAAAAAAGACATTTGCAAATTTTGGGAATTTTGAGTTATACAATGGTTGGTAATTAATTTCCATGTTTTGTAAGAATAACAAATTTTCATAAATTTGCAATTCCTAAATTTCCAAAAGCATTTTGAGGTGGAAAAAAGAGCTTTTTCAGTTGATAAGATCTTATTTCAACCTAGGTGGGTGACCTTTGGCGCACATTTGCAAGTTTAGTGGCTTACTTGCAACTTTGCCAAATTAAAGTTTCACAAAGCTACATGTAATAATATTAATATAGCCCCATAATCTCAAGCTTGTAGCTATATCTACCATATTTAATTGCAATCCCTGACTTAAAATGAGCCACTGTGGGTGCTCTTATAGGCTAAAAAGCATGTACAACCGAATTAATTTCTTTTTAAGTTAAGAAAACATTCATAGATACACCCAAGTGTATATAAATGAATCATGCACAAATCACAAGCCATACGTTCTTCTATTATCTTACTTCCTCCTTATTCTTCCTTGTAAAAAAAAAAAAAAAAAAAACCAAAAAAATGCGTTTTTTTTTTTTTTTTTTTTGGGTGCAAAAGAAGGCAAAGTCCTTTATTCCGCAATGTTAGCAAGGCAAATCATTTAAGATAAAAGTACGATTAATTTATGATAACATAATATATTTCCCTATCTACTTAAAGCATCTACAAGATAGTGTTACAAATAAAAATTACAAATTTTACTCTTAATGGCCATTATGGCCTTATGGGGTATGCATATATGGAATATGCCCCCGTGAGTCCGTGACGCCTAAAAAGCAAGAAAATGAGGCATGTCACTCTTGTGGGTATCAAATTAGTGGGACGTGAAAAAAGTCATGCAAAATAACTAATTATAGTAATCCTATTTAGAGAGTATAATTTCTGACATTACTCCACTAACTACTCAACTAGTGGAGTATAAGTTTTGCAGTAAAATATTAGTAATTTTATCTCTTCTTACACTAATTTAAGGACATTCATACTTCATTCGAATAAATATATCTCACTTTATGCAGTCCTAATTCCCAACCACCTGGTGTACGAAACATACTTCTTTACTGTATATGGTAAGGTTGTTGCTCCTATTATAGTATTCGTAGAGGCACCAAATTATGGGCATGATGTGTTAAGCATATATGCATGTGTGATGATGCTGGGAGTGTTCACGAGATTGGTACCACAATTCACAACTCACAAGCCAATGGTCGCCACTCTAGGATGTGTGACAATTCGTTCTTATAATTAGGTGCCGTATCAAACACTTGAGATCGAATGTGATCGGTTTGATTTACTATATTGTTGTTTCTCAATTTATGCAACGTAAATTCCTTAGTATGTTCGCCCAAATTTGATGGGAAGATTTTTCATGAAAAATGGAAGTATTGATTTTACTACAGTAAGGTTATATTTAGTTCACTTGATTTGATATAGTATGATATTTCATATGAGTTTTAGCTTTGACTAAAATTTGACTTTATCTATTTATACACTAATTCGTAAGAATGAAAGATTATCAAATACGAAGTATATGGTAATGTATATTTTTTAAATATGAACTTTAATTTTTATAGTTTTTTTTTAAAAAAATAAGGAATTAAAAATATTTAGTAATGAAATATTCAATAAAATTAGGGTTGCTCATACCACTTTAATGGTGCACATTTACTATTACAGGGCAAATAAATTGGTGTCATATTTCATGAATTTATGAAATCAATTTAAAGTGCGGCTCGTCACGTCAAAGATCGAGATGCATGGAGTTGAATACTAGGAATGTCAATTCAATTCGTTGCAGAAGTGCGGTTTTGTGTTTGGTTCAAAGCTTTGCTTGAGAACATATCTAAAGCAAAAATAAAGTTTTCCTCCACTAGTTTTTGACTTTTTGTATAAACAATATGGTTGTTATTTGAATGAAATATTTCAACTAATTATGACATAAATCTTGTTGTCTCTAATTTTCTATTGTATTTTTTGTTGATACTTGATTTACAAGTTGGAATCAAAATTCAATCAATCGAGTCTCATAGTCTCACCTTTGTGTGTACGTACATGAGCCATTAATTTAGATTATTTTGTAGAAACACTTAATTTACGATTCAAAGTTTGAAATTCTATCTAGAAGATAATAAAAACTAGTACATGACATATATACATGTGTATGATACACAAAAAGTGAGATAGAATCATGGCTTGTTGAATTTTCTTATCTTTCCATGCCTTTAAGACGTGGAATTTTAGAAATTGAAATAATGTAGTGGTTTAAGACAAAGAGTACTAGCTTAGTGTGAAGTTGCACTTTCTACAAAAGGAATGAAGGAAGACGATGGACCAAACAACCGTAAATTGTTAGAAATGAAAATACACATGAGTACAACTTTCTAAATTCATTAATATAATTGTCTTTTATGTTCAACCAAAGGACCACTAGTATAAAAATATGGCTTACAGATAGGAAAAAAATCAATATAATTATTAGGGTGCATTCTAATATTAATCATATTTTCACTAATTTAAACTTATTATTAATTCATTAAAACTTTTCCTAAAAAAAAAATTAATTTATTAAAACTTTACAGTTGCAATATTGAACTTAATTAGCCCTAAATAATTCATGTAAAGCATTTGAAAATTTCAAACTTGAATATTATTTGAAATAAGTGAAAAATGAGGTAAACATACAAATAAACATTAAACAAGCTAAGACTTAAGTTAAAACGATCCACAAATATTTAACCGAAAAAAAAAAAACAAAAAAAACAAAGATGCCACTAATTAAGGGGGAAAATGCCACAAGTGGAAGAAATTAGCTTATCTACTGTCGGTAATGTACATTTAATTTTTGTAATAATCCACGTTCGTGAACCATGATCAACGTAAGATTAAGTGCCATGTAAAACTACAATAAATTAAGATCGTACATTTGGTTAAATATATATCATGTCAAATTTATTGTCAATGTCATTTGTGTATGTCAAATTAGATTGAACGGCTTGACTTTCTCATTCACAAGTGAAGAATATATGTAGTTACAAGAGATATTCTTAACCCTAACAAGATTAGAATAAGATAGAATATTAACATAACTAGGAAATCTAAAGATATTATACAATATACCTAATTATTATCTTAACATCCCCCCTCAAGATGAAACATGTAGATCTCGAATGCCCATCTTGTCAAGAAAAAAAATCGAATTGCGCCTTTCCCAAGGCTTTTGTAAAAATATCCGCCAATTGAATTTTCATGCAGTGGAAACATATGATGGCTTTATCACTTAATAACATCTCGAATAAGACGACAGTCTACTTCTATATGTTTTGTCCTTTCATGGAACACCGGGTTATTAGCAATATGGAGTGTTGATTGACTATCACAATACATGTTCATGCCTTGCTTATGTTCCACACCCAAAGCTCGAAGTAATTGTTTCAACCATTTCAAATCACATGTCAACCCTACCATTGACCTATACTCTACCTTGGCGGAGCTTGTAGAAACTGTGTGTTGCTTCTTAGTCTTCCAGGACACAGGAGACATCCCAAGTAATACGAACCAAACAGTCAACGATCTACGAGTCAAGGGACAACTTGCCCAATCCAAGTCACACCATCCTTCCAACTGAAGACTACTATCATACCTCAGTAGGATGCCTTAACCCGGACATTTCTTCAAATATCTTACTACTCTCAATGCTGCCTCCCAATGTGCCTCTTTTTGACATTGCATAAATTGTGACAAAATATGCACCGAATAAGCCAAATTTGGCCTTGTGACTGCCAAGTAGACGACCAATCAACCGCCTATATTGTTCACCATCTGCAAACTCCTTCAATTCCCCTATGCTAAAGCAAGTTTATGATTTTGCTCCATCGGAAAGTCTGTCGGCTTTGCTCCTAGTATCCTGTCTCATAAATAATATCTAAAACATCTTATGTTGACACACATAGAAACCATGTTTACTATGTGCCATTTCTAGCCCAAAAAAATATTTCAAGGCTCCCAAATCTTTCATTTTAAAACATTCACTCAAGTATGCTTTAAAACTTTCCAATGCAAATGTATTATTTCCTGCAATAATCATATCATCCACATAAATCAAGACACTCAACTGCATTCCACCCTTCGAAAGAGTGAATAAGGAATAGTCAAAGTATGACTGTTTAAATCCATATTTCTTCAAAGCTGTGGACAATTTTTCAAACCAACGACATCTAGGAGCTTGCTTCAATCCGTATAAGGATTTGTTCATCTTGCAGACTTTATTTGAGTTGCCTTTTTGAAATCCCGGTGGTACTTTCATATAAATCTCCTCCTCTAAATCGCAGTGCAAGAAAGCATTATGTACATCCATTTGATGTACATCCTAGTTTTTAATAGCTACAATTGCTAAGAAAGTACGTACCGTAGACATTTTTGCCACCGGAGCAAATGTTTCATTGTAATCGATCCCTTTTTCCCGATGATTACCAAACACCACAAGTCTTGCTTTTAATCTGAGCAACTTGCCTTCCTCATCTTTCTTCTCAGTATATACCCACTTACTACCAAGTGCTTTCTTTCCTTCTGGATGTTTTTCTAAACTCCATGTTCCTTGATCCTCGAGTACTTTGATTTCAGACGCCATAGGATCTCTCCATCTTGTATGTTGCATTGCTTCCTTGTATGATCTAGGAATTCGTGCCTCTGTCACTGCAGCAATGTAATTACTATGTTTTTTTGGAAAAACGATCATAATTAACAAAATATGTTATTGGATAGGGAGTACCTGAGAATGGTGATGTCGTGGATGAAGATGAGACTTTATTTTTCTGAATGGCATACGTGACGCAATCTCGCAATTTCGTTGAAGGAAATTTCACTCTCTTCCCCCGACCTAATTCCTCTTCACCCGTACCTATACTCACTCCTTCGCCCCCTTATCCTCGAGCTGCGTGGCCTGCTGTTTGGAGCTGAAATGCGGTTGACCGCTTGCAGTGGGATGGTGCTGATTCCTTGAGGTCGTGCCCTGCCTTGTGGGACTGCCTGAGGTCGTATCCTGCTTTTCTCCCGCTGGAAATCCAGCGTCTAAACCAGACGCAGCAGCTGCGATGTCCTGCGGGGTAGCTGTAGGCGTTGGTCGGCCTGCGGGCACTGGTTTTCCAATGGGCTGACCAGACGCACCATTCGCGGGATGCTGCGGGCTGCCTGAGGGCGCTGGTTCATCCCCACCAGCTTGCTCTCCTTGAATCTCCTCATACACTCCCACTAAGTCTCCACCATGCCACGCATCAAACTCGTCCCCTACTACAATTCATCCATATTCACAATTGTCGAATTCCCACTATTATCTTCTACAAACTCCCCAAATGGGTACACCCGTTCATGAAATTGCACATCTCGAGACACGAAGTACTCCTTTGTCTCTAAGTCAAATAGTTGCCACCCCTTTTTGCCAAATGCATATCCAAGAAACACACATTTCCTACTCCGAGACTCAAATTTATCTCCCTTACTTCGTTGATTGTGAGCATAACACAAACAACCAAGTACTCTAATAGAATCATACGATGGAATCTTCCCAAACAATATCTCATACAGAGTTTAATTTTGGATAACCGAACTCGGAGTTCGATTAATCAAATAACAAGCAGTCAAAGCACAATTTCCCCAAAATTTTATAGGTAATCGTCCCTGAAACCGCAAAGCACGAGCAACATGAGAATATGTTGATGTTTCCTCTCTACTCTCCCATTTTGTTGTGGGGTACCCACCCAAGAAGACTAAAAAATAATCCCATTTCGAACAAAATAGTCTTGAAGATGATTAAACTCGATACCATTATCACTCCGAACAATCTTAATAAGTCTATCAAATTGACGCTTAATTAAGGCAATAAAATTAAGAAATGTAGATTCAACCTCTGTTTTATTACGAATGAAATAAATCCATACACCTCTAGAATAATCATCAACAATTGTTAAAAAATACCTCGCCCCACACGACGAAGGCACCTTGTATGGACCCCATAAATCAATATGAACTAACTCAAATAAACTACTAGCATTATTTTCACTAAGAGAAAAGCTATCTCTAGTTTGTTTTGCATGTGGGCATACATCACAAACACTTTTATTTTTTCTAACTAAGTTACTCACAGGGGGAAGTAACTTTAACACTTTTTCCGATGGATGTCCCATACGTTGATGCCAAAGATCTACCTTACAATCCACTGCTAGCACCTTCATTTGCGGCACACCTCAGAAAAAATAAAGTCCATCTTCTCTCTCACCCACGCCAATCACCGTCCTTGTCAACTGGTCCTGAATAACACAAATTTTGTTAGTAAATTGAATTGTACATTGTAACTCATCGCTAAGTTTGAGTAACAGAAATAAGGTTACAATTCAAATTTGGCACAAATAAAACATTGTCAATCACCAAACCACCGTCTAAGGTGACCGAACTCAATTGATTCGCATTCACCGTTTGACCATCCAATAAACCAACCGGACAATTATGTATTGTCTTGACATTTCTCATGAGAGATATGTCATTAGTGACATGATTAGAAGCTCCCGTATCCACAATCCATAATAATTTGGCATTACCTTCCAACCGTGGCTTAAGAATATCAATGATTTGCTGTGCTTGTTTTGTTGAAACTCCTACAGGGCCTTGAGTGGGATTTGTTTGTGAGGATGATGCACTCCCAGAGCTGGAATTTGTCCCCTCTTGGACTGCATTAGCACGAGCAGCAGGAGGGGATCCACTTGACGAAGTATTCCCACGACCATAGCCTCCTTTACCGCCACGAGTACTAGAGTTGCCTCTACCACGACCCCTTCCTCTTTTCCGATTCTCATCCCATCCTTTCGGGAAACCAATGATCTGATAACACCCCTTCTTCCAATGCCCCATACGAATACAATGAGTGCAAAAAGGTCAGTCACCATCCCCCAATTCTTCTTTAGCGCGAGACTCCACCTTAAACGCCATGACATTTTCTTTTGGTTTCCCATCTCGAACTCGCAATCTCTCGGTATTAATCACCATTTGATATGCATTGTCAACTAGGGGAAATGATGATTGTGCTAATAATTGAGCACGGATTGCTTCATAGGGATCATCAAGTCCCATAAAAAAAATAATGGAGATAATCCTCCTCACGAATCTCCGTAACCTGCCTTGCAATGTTACACTTACATAAACCATATGAGCATTGCAGAACACGGCAATATTGCACCAATTCTTTCCAATTTTTTGACAAACGACCGAAATAATCAGTCACAGACTTAGAAGAAGCCTGTTTACATTCTCCTAACGATTGTTTCAACTGGCAAATACGAGTCCCACTCACCACACGTACAATATCTTTGCTTGAGATGCTTCCACAATTCACTAGCAATATCAAAGTCTTCAACCTGTGAACGTATGCCATCCTCAAGTGTGTTTGTAATCCATGAAACAAGCATGGAGTTTACAGCAACCTAATGCTTCTTCTTCACCATATCAGTCGGCTTTAATATGGAGCCATCAATGAAGCCAAACTTGAATTTTGCGATCATCGAATGACGAACCGCTTTAGCCCACTCATCATAGTTTGGTCCCTTCAATTTCACAGGGGCCATAACCACTCCCGGATGATCACTTGACCCTAGATAATAGTCTTAGTCAACCGGTGGTGGAGGTGGAGATTGATCGTCATCCTTCGCCATCTCTCACGGCCCTCTGTGTTTCCTCATGTAATTTTTTTTTTCAACCTAGACTCTTGATACCATGTCAAATTAGATTGAATGGCTTGACTTTCTCATTCACAAGTGAAGAATATATATGGTTACAAGAGATATTCTTAACCCTAACAAGATTAGGAATAAGATAGAATATTAACATAACTAGGAAATCTAAAAATATTATACAATATACCTAATTATTATCTTAACAGTGTACGTACTAGCATAATGCATCAATGCATGCTTTTGATTTTGATGCTCGAATGCATGTGAGTGCTTGTCATTTATCAAGAGAAACTACGTCATCTTACTTGAAGTGAGAATTGAATCCTTTGTATAGGGGCGGAAGGAGGGTCTCCTATTAGTGGACTAATCTTGATTCTCTCTTTGAAAGGATAAGTGGTAAGGTGGTGGTAGCATACTAGCATGACAATAATTAAGTACTCCATAGTTGAGTAGTTCGATAGAGTATTATTTAATTTTTTTTACTTAAATATTTTTGTTTTTATTGCCACAAAAACATTAATAAATGTTTTAAACATTTCTTAGAATATACAAGTATGTATCAATTCATGTAGGATGCATACATTAAATATACTCCTTACATTATTTCACATTGATTTGAATCCCTACCTTATAAAAAGTACAAGATTAATCTTATAAATAGAGTAATGTCACTCTATACTATATATTAAAAAGCGTTTCTAAACAATGGATTGTACAAGATTGGAACCCACAACCTTAAGTTTAAAAACTGAAGTGTTAGCCACTAAGCTATCACCATATTACGTATCATGCATTCTATCAAAATAAAATATAAATATGGATTTCAATTATTGAATTAATGCAGTAACTCGGGGCATCGTCCGGGCCTTAAAACTAGTTATACCTTTAAAATGTGCATTTACATGCCTACCCTCATTAATATGTACAAGTTTTTATTTTGCCTTCATTAAAATTAATTACCTATTTTTGTTTTTGCCTTCATTAACGTTAATTTTTTTTTTTTTTTTGTTAAATTTATTTAGAATAGTGTGCGGACATATATACCCCTATATAATTTGTTTACATATTTTAACTTATTAAGGTAACCAACAACTAAAAAAACTCTTCGAACAAGGCTAGTTATGCACACGTTATCCACCCTAATAATTTATAAAATTGTCAGGCAGAAGTTTAATGAGGTGCGTTCACCATCATTGTGAGTTTAAGTTTACATTTCAAGAACATTCATGCACCAATAGAGTTTAATCATTCAAAATCACAATGCGCACTGTAAAATCCGTAATCCGATTAAATCACTTGCCAAAACATTGTACTCCGTAAAAAAGTTTCGACTTCATCCACAAAAGCCCAATGTTAAGTCTTAACCCACAATCCAAAGCCCAACAAAATCCAACTCAAAACGTCATCGTATTACCTCTCCCGCCTCCATCTCCAATTTGAAATTTTCTCTCTCCTCCTTTTCCAGTTTCTCTCTGATTCTCCTTTCTCTCATTCAACTAACTCACTGAGTCACTCTTCTCGAAAATTGAACTTCTAAAATTAGGTTCAATTAACTTCACTTTAATCATGGGCTCAAACCCTAGAAGAGAGAGAAAATCCCCAATTCAAAACGATTTATGGAATGAAATTATAGCAGAAGATCAACATATTCTTAATCGTCAAAAACAACCTCAAATTGTCGTCACTTATCAGCGACACAAATCCGATGATGCTGCTGCTATAAAACCCTCTCGAAAGTTGGTTTTTTTTTTTCTTTGTAATTCAATTTTCGTATAATTTATCGCCATTTTTCCAGATTTTTAGGGTTTTTTTTGGGGGGGGTTGATTTTGATAGGTCGGGAAGCAGTAGTTCGAGGGAAGGAAGTCTCGCGAGTCGGGTGAGTTTCGTGGCGATTAATAATAACTCGCAACGAGTTAGTTGGAATCGTTCTCTTTCAACCAGGTTTTCTTCTTTGCCCATTAAAATCATTTCATATTTTTATATTGATGATAATTTTTTGGTATATTATTAATAATGTTATATTGTTCAAGTATATAGTGAACTAGGTATTATGATGGGTTTGATTTGATTTTCAATTTTTTGCTAAAATAGTGTTGATTGATGATTGTTGTAGAGGGAGGACAAGTATTGCGATTTTAGCAGTAGGGGATTACAAGGAGCAGCAGCAGAGGGCACCCAGGAGGAAACCTAGACCACCTCTTCCTAAGGTATGGATTTTTTGTTTCGTCTGTTGGTGTCGGCTAGCTTAGTTGGTTAATGTCTTGGCAGCGGTTGGTGGTACCAATATTGTGGAATTGAATCCCGTCTACATTTTTGCCCTTTTGTGGCTACCTATACACTAGATAAAAGTATGAATCTTTTCTTCCCCTTGCACTAACATAATATATCAGTAATTGGCTTGATTATGGGGGTATCTGATTGAGCAGTTTGACTGGTAATTTAGGGAGAAAAGATATCTCTTTATATTAACTTCTACATTTAGAGGCATTAGGTCACAAGAGGTCAAATATTGGGTGTTTTTATTTTGTAGTATGATGTTTAAGACTTTCAGTTCGTTAAATAACAGTCTAAGAGATTGTAGTTTATAAGCATTTTTTATTTTGAATATCTCTGTATATGTTGTATTATATATTTGTATCCCCTCCGTCTTCAAACATTTTTCTTACCTCTAATCATTGAGGACGTGACATGATTTTACTAATATATTAGTGAGACCATTCCTACACTCACCCTATCACTCAATGTATGTCGGCGTCTTAAATTGAATAGTCTAATGTTAAGTGAGTTAATTCATAGCCAGATAGCTTTGAAGGAAAAGAGAACACTTTTAACAAAAATCCCTTAATATCATATGTGATTATCATTTTCAGACAAAGGAAGTATTATAATGCTTGTGTGTAATCAAATTATCAAATTTTTATCATTATACTATATGTTTTCATCAATTCTTTCTGTTTCACACTCCCTCCCTTGTGTTAAATAAGAGAAAAAAAGGCTTTCATGATGATGGAGTTTTATTTTTTTGCCATTAAGGGAAAATTTACACAGGCCACGAATTTTGAGAAAGAGAGAGCATACTTCCAAGAAGTTGATGCAGATGAGTTGTTGGAAGAAAGTCCTTCACCTAAAAAAGTTGCTTGGGTGATGGGAATTCAACCTGACAATATAAGAGTGCCTCCACTCTGCTCAAGGCTCGAAAAGTGGCTACATGCTAAGAAGCAGCATGTAATTCCTTCCAGCACACTATCTACCATATTAAGAACTCCAGATGGGGGGGCACTGGAGCCTATTCCTTATAATAATGATGGGTTTGATTCCTCGTGTCTGAGAAAGTCTGAAGAATTTCGTCTGCGCAGTATATCTGGTTCACTCTCAGTGCAAGACATGCTCACACATTTAGGGAAGGGTCATATTGATCTTGAGCACCTAAAGGACAAGGACTTTGATGATATAGAATCTGAGATCAAGAAACTTTCTTTGGCATCGCGGCCTAGTTCTTTGGCTAATGAGGCTTTTTTGGCACTTCTGAAGGAATGCGAACAGTCAGCTCCTTCAACGTTGTTTGAAGTGTTCTCCAACCTCTGGTCAGTATTTTGTTGATTGTTGTCACTTTCCTCCATGTCATATAAGCTGCGAAACATGGGTAAAAAATTCTATCAAGATAGAAAAAAGGCAGGTAGAAAGATATCCTGCTGAACTGCCACAAAACTTGATTTACTTAGAGTCTGCCTCATGTAGACAGGATTATTTTCTTTGTGCTTTCTTAATTCAACTTACTTTTAGCTTAGCCATACACAATTCAACATGTCAGTATATCCTTTCTAACCAAATGTGATGAACTTAAAATTATGGAGTGCTAATGCTGTAAATGATTTATAATTGGCAAGAACGCATGGTAATTTAGAATCACTATGCAACCAAATTTTCAATGTTTCTAGGCACAATTTTCTTGTAGAGAAAGTATGACTTAAGTCAATGATTAAAACGGTATTAGATAATATAAGTAGTATGCTATTATTGATTGTTTTTTTACTTTAGTGGCTTAGGTGATGGAGGTAGTACTTCTCATACATGAGTTAATTGCTCGATACATCAGATTTTTTTTTATTTTTTTCCTCTTGTTATTGTAAAGGGCTGACTGTTGATGGGTGAGCACTGAGCACTTTCAAGCAACTATATCATTCTTCAAATTTAATCATCAGGACAAAATTTATTTCTGATTTATGTTATGAGTATCATATGCACCTGAAAGCCCATATTGTAAAGACAGGGCTTCTTCCACATTTCATCTTGCATTTCCTTGTGTTTTTGCCATGAATTCACAAGCATAGAATCCCTTTCTTCCCTAATGAGATTTGGAAATATGAAATCCAGTGATACAGGAAGTATCGTTAAGATTGGGGAAGGTACATTTGGAGAGGCTTTTATTGCTGGAAGTTCCGTTTGCAAAATTGTTCCTATTGATGGATTACTAAGAGTGAACGGTGAAATGCAAAAGGTACACTTTAAAGCAATATCTCTTATCGTTGTTTCGTGTTCCTTGCTCATTGTGCCTGAGTAGGTCATGCATTGGCATCAGACAACTATGAGCAGCAATCATAGGTAAAATGTTTCCTTGGCTTGTGCTTTAGAACATTCAGGATACTATTCTAGGCAATGAGACGAACTTAACCAGAATTTCTTATTCTTGTTGCAAAAAGCCTAAAAAACACATTAATCATGCTTTAGACAGCTGCTCACATTTGGTTCATCAGATTTTCTGCAAAATATGTTCAACTATCAAACCAACTTTTTTATAACTGGGTTATTCAGTACCTTATACATTTAAGGTAAAACTTTGAAATTGAATTATACTCCGTATATATTTGAAGATATGTATTCTTGTTTATGAATGCTTTACAGAGATCTATGGAGTTGCTGGAAGAAGTGATACTGTCACGGACACTTAATCGCTTAAGAGGGAGTGAGGTTCTATTTGATAATGCTACCACTACATTTATACAGACAAAAGTGTATGTTCAATTGAGAACTCACTTTTCTTTGGTTGTGCCACAATCTAGGAATTTCTGATTGCTCATTTTGGTATGAAACAGGTGCTCTTACTAAGTTTAAACTAGACTCCTTAGTCTAAGATGTTGTGCCCTAGTTTTGGAAATAGGAGATTTCTAGCTAATCATCTATTTACATTTTACACACACACACACGCATATAGTGCGAGTATTTGATACCATATTATGTTTAACTCAACTGATTGTTTCTAGCCAGCAAGCTTAGCAGTAGGGTTCTGTTGGAAAGTTGGAAGCAATAACTTAGAACAAATAAAAAGGAACAATAAATGCAGAAATAGGTAGAAAGACAACAGTTATAACTTCAACTTAAAAGGAGCTGGAAATTTGTAGATGACCAGTAGTTCACTAGTTCAACACAGCCTATGAATCTAATATTTTTAAGGCGTTGTTTGTGTAGTATAATTGCTAGCTTGCAACACTAATGAATAATCACTTACCGACTTATGTAGTATGTTCCAAGAACTTGTATGTGCAAAGATGCTAGATTTATGCTTTTGAGGATTGAATTTCTTTTAACAATCTTATAATAGGTTCTTAATTCTTTGTTTTTCAGTATTAAGGTTTGTCAAGGTCCTTATGATCCTGTTCTACTGAAAGCTTGGGAAAATTGGGATACAGAGCATGGCTCAGAGAATGACAATCCTAAGCAATTTCCTGAAAATCAGGTTTGTGTTCTTTGCAGTTCGATTTATAGAAGAGTATGTGCATAATGGGGATTTTTGACATTTGCATGCAGCTTTGCTAGACTTTCAGCTGCAATGTGCCATAAAATTGTCTACTTACTTGATCATTATCTTGTTTACAGTGTTATCTCGTTTCAATCCTTGAGCATGGTGGTACTGATCTTGAAAGTTTTGTTCTCTTAGACTTCAATGAAGCGCAGAGTTTGTTAGTTCAGGTATATAATGACTTTTGTACAATACTATTTTTTTATATTTCTTTTTAAATTTTTTGCTTAAAACGCTTTGGACACTATGAATTGCAGGTAACAGCTGCCCTGGCTGTTGCTGAAGCTGCTTTTGAATTTGAACACCGTGATCTGCACTGGTAAACTCTAAGAACATCTTGACATGTGAATATCTTCTAGTATATTTTTGTGCTACAGTTGAAGTCTATAAATTCTTTTTCTTTACCCCTTTTTTTTTTTTTTTTTTTCCTTCCTAGGGGAAACATTCTTTTAAGCAGAAGAGAGACTGCTGTGCTGCAGTTTACTCTTGAAGGAAGGACGACATCCATAAGAACACATGGGCTGTTGGTTTCCATAATAGATTTTACCCTTTCGAGGATCAATACAGGTAATTGTCTATGAACTCAACGCATTGCTGTATCTTTGGCAAATTGATTCACTGATATGCAATACACACAGGCAACACAATTCTCTATTTGAATCTATCCTCGGATCCCGAGCTTTTCGAAGGTCCCAAAGGAGATAAGCAAGTAAGAAAAATATTTAGAATCCAGTTCTGCCACTCGTTCCTATTAAAATGAATTTGTGATTGAATTCTCAATCGTCTTGCACAGGCAGAAACATATCGGAAAATGAGGGAGGTCACAGATGATTGCTGGGATGGAAGGTATATTTCCTTATTATGATTGATTCTTATTAATTACGTTGAATCTACTGTAGGGCTGGGAGTTTTATCAATAATCAGTTTCTATGAAAATGTTCAGTTGAATGCTTAATTTGATTGAAATTGCCGTTGGCAGTTTTCCAAAGACAAACGTATTATGGTTGCAGTATCTGGTGGATATATTGTTGCTGAAGAAATCATTTGTAAGTACTTAATCTACCTTGTTATATTATCTAATATATTGGTCAATGCCAACCATTTGCTTGGGCTTGAAGATGCATACGTAATCAATGTATGGATAGTTTATATTGCATCGATATATATGTCACCATCAGTTGAGCTAATTTGAATAAGTGCACGGTTAGTCCTTATTCATTCACTTGGCAGCTGAATTTCAAAATGGGAGACTAGATCATTCATGTTATTTTGTTTCCAGAAACGTTGTGGAAAAGATGAAAGAGAGTTACGATCCTTGAAGAAGCGATGGAACAGTTGCAATTCTGCAAAGGAAGCGCTCTCAGATCCTTTCTTCAGTGATATGCTTGTTGATCACGCAGCTTGAGGAAAAGCTCCTGGGGTACAAAAAAAAAAAAAAAAAAAAGGGTCATTGCTTCAGGCCTTTTTCCATAACAGCTTCAAATCATTATAAACACCGAGTAATTTTACTAAGAGAGGTGATTGTATGACAGTTCTCACCGCTTAGTGAGAAGACTGAGAAGCCTGTAAGGCTGTAAATGTTTGGGTCTTTTGTCAAGTTTGTACATGAATGTATGTATTTGTAATTTTGTACTGGAATGGTTTCATCTTTTTATCTGAATTCCTTTTATTTAAAACTTTAATGAAATCATTTTGACTGTAAAATGAATTTTGCAGTCCTTTAATGTAACCCTTGTTTTTCATCAGTTTTATACTACATGCTGCGCGTTCAATTGCTTATCAATGATGTTAAGGTTTCCTTAAGAGTTTATTTACTTACAGAGTATTCATATGATGCAGAGTAGGCAGTAATGATAATGGATTTATATGTAATTGGTAAAGAAATGATAATATTGAAACTATATCATTAAATACGCTTGTTTTCTTCTTGGAAAACACATCAACACAAAACACCTCTTACTAGTACGTACTAAACGATAATGAAAATTTAGGAAGAAAATGAGAAACGGTACTCGCCTACTAAATGGACCAGGGATAATCCTTTCTACAGTCTTAACATATTTGGCTGCTTTCCAATTTCAAAACTTGGCCATTAAATTATCCAAATAAAAAGAGCATAAATCCATATAGTCTCCATCATCCAAATCAGATTGCTTGGTCAAAAGAAAGAATACAGGATAAGTCCTAGAAATGCTTTTTAGTGGTGACATTGAACATGCATGGCATTGCCCAAAGTTTTTCCTTTTCATTCCCTGTTTCCCCCACCCACCCATCAAACTTATAAAGAAGGGATTAGATTTTACAACTTTGTGATGTATCCTGCTACCCATTTAATATATACCGCATTTCAATTAAAGATTCATTTATTTTAAAAGAAAATATAATTCAGGAAAACGTACACAATTGTAAATATAGGTTTTCTTTGTGTGTTTCTTTACACAAAAGATTACAAAGGAAAAGAAAATTGAGAGCGGAAGGAAGAAGATGGATGGGAGAAGAGGTAACGCAAATTAAGAATGAAAATAAAACATTCTTTTAAAAGGAGAATGTTTTTCACTCGTTAAAGGCTACAATAGAAATAATTCTCTTGAAGAAATATTTTCTGTCAAAACAAATAAAACCCAAGAGTTGATAAAGAATGTTAGGTTGAAGGTGCATTTCTTATCTAGCTTCCATGCCTCTCCCTTCAAATTAAAAAAAAAAAAAAAAGGGTTCTACAATAATAAACAATTTTGCCTAGCCTTCTCTATGTGTAGACAAAATTCAGTTGGTACATGATAACCATAATATCCCAAAAGTTTAATAATACATTAATACTTCCATCTCATGCATGTATGATGGAAGTAACAAGATATAAGAAAGCAAGATAATTATCAACTTGTTAAAAAACAAATAAGTTGATGAGACTCAAAACTAATCTAGCTCCAAATAAAGTATCACATCCTCACGTGCACTAAGAAACCAAGATTATTCTGGTATAAAAGTAACTTATTAGTGGGTGATTATCTGTTAATCACATCTTAATCTTTTTTTTGGGTCTAATAATAACTCTGATGCAAAGACTCCCTTTGTTTTTGGGTCTAAATTATTATCATCTAAAAATAATTAGCTCGCTTAATTGTGTTTGCTTGATTAAGCCATCTTTTGGCCTTACTTTCTGGCTTTGTAGAAGTCTTTTTGACAATTAATGAAAGTAAAACATTTTTTTAGATAAAACTTTTTCTTAAAGAAGATTTGGCCACTTGTAATTCTTGGTGCATATGCATGGAGCAGTGTAACTTTGCGCCAAAAAATAAAAATAAAAATAAAAATAAATGAACACATGCATGGTATAGTTTTAATTATACAGTGTATGATATGGTTAGTTCATCCTTCCTTATCAAGTTAACTTTGGTGACGTTGGTTTTGCACTAGTTGTACATTGTTTATTTTGTCCGATGCTTCGCTCCCTTAGATAACATATTATTAATCCCTCTTTACTGCCGTCGTCTTTTTTTTTTTTTTTTTTTTTTTTTTTTTTTTTTTTTTTTTTTTGATATTTTTTGATAAGGAGAACTACAAACAAAGAAATAAGAAGACAAAAAAACTAAAAAGACCAACATAGGATTTGGCGTTTTCTAGCCCTGACCACCAATCAGTGAGCAGGAGCAACCCAACTCCGAGGGACTTTACGAATGTGACAGACTGAAAAGCCCGAAAGCACCTCGCGAATTTCATGCAGAATCCAAAAACAGAAGACATCATCTGAACATGAACGACATAAAGAACAAAGTTGCGCACAATCGGAACAAGCCAGAAGCCGTTGATACCCTTTTCGACGAGCAGCTCGAAGACCCCATAAGCATGCCTGTAACTCTGCTTGAAGGGCAAAAGAAGTCCTACAAGCCTTCGATACTCCTCCAAGAACTTCAGACGCCTCAACACTACGAAGAATCCAACCAGCCCCAACACTAAAATCGCCAGCATTCCATGCCCCATCCAAAAGAAGGCAGAAATCAACCGGATTAGTAGTAGCACCCTGTAAATACCTTGTAGTAGAAATGGTAGGAGAACAAAACTGGACGGTATGAAACGAAAGACGCTAATGGGAAAACAGACTCGCCTTCTTCGACAAAGAGATCCACTCATTTGCAAGACATAAAATCGAGTTCGCAGAATATGGAACCCGATGGAAAATGATCTAATTACGAGTTAGCCAAATGGCCCACAACAAAGTAAAGAAAGCATCGCATCTCAATCCTTTGAACTCCTAAATAAGGAAATCAGGTCCATTAACCAGGCAACAAACGGCTTAACATGCAACTGACTACCAACTAAACCCAAAGGACCCGAAGTAAAAGGCTGAGCAATGAAAGGACAATCTCAAAACAAACGAGTCGCCGTCTCAAGACCATTCCAACAGAAGACGCATAATGAAGTCACCGGGAGACCACGCAGATGAAGGGTGGAGGATCGGAAAGAGGTAAAGCATTATGTAGAAGTTTCTAACAAAACATCTTTAACTTCAGTAGGAAAGGCAGACCCCACAAACTCTTCTTTCTTCATTCTTGCTATATAGCTGTAGCCCTTGTAGGCAGATCTTCAATCAATTATCATAAGGGTGAAGTGGATCAAACTGGCACATATTGTACACGCATCAAACATCAATGCATGTGTGACAAACGTGTAGGACTACGTCTTGTTAGGTTTTACAGTGATTTCAAACTAGAAAAACACTTAATATTTGTGTGGGAACAAAACCTAGGAAATATGATTACAAAATAATAAAATTATGTAATTCAACAAATACTTCAAAAGTATTACAATCAAGTATTAATATCTAAGAAATTACAGAAAATTTCTAAAGATAACACTAATGTGAAAATAATCAAACTTGCCTCAACTCCAAGCCGAACAAACCACGCATGAACATGAGAATTTTGATGTCCCGTAAGACTACGACCTTGATACACTATCTAAGGCGTGTAAACACTTTCCTAAAGAGATTTAATTCCCCCACACGGTGCTTGGGTTTAACCAGAAATTCTCTTTGAGATACAACAGACAACAATTTCGTTCTTAGCACAAAGAATCGAAATAAAGATGAACGATTCACAAAGAAGGCTAAAAATCAAGAGTATTTCTCACAAAAGTTTACAAGAAGTTTGAGAGAAATTATGGAGAATACTTAGGGAGAGTTCAAGAGAATAATGTTCTCTCTTTTTCCTGTTCGAAAAACCAAGTCTTATAATAATAGACTCAACTAACCGTCAGGAAAAAACCGCAAAACAGGGAGGCGCGCCACCAGTTGGAGCGGGCGCTCCTCCCATAAACTGCGAAAATTCACAAAAAGGCAGTGAGGGGCGCGGTTTAGGCGCGACCAGCAACGCGGGCACGCCATCCTCACCCTTCCAGAGAGGTACGCGGTTTAGGCGCGCTCTCTGCGCGGCCGCGCCAGCCTTGCGCGGGCGCTCCTTCATGGTCGCGATCGCCCAATCATCAACACTCTAAATATGCAACACGTCTAGGGTGTATGATTATATTGAATTTACAAGGGTTTAATTTTTTTTTTCATGAATAATAATACATATTTTTAAGATTCTTTGCTATCAATAAGATATTTAAATAACATCAGGGGAGGGTAAATACAATATAAAGAACATACAAAGTATAATATGTATATGTAGATGTTAATTAGTTTAGTTGGTTAAAACATCCGGTCATCGGGGACGACGGGATACCCAAGACTTGGAATCAAATTCTTTCCACATCACTGCCTTCTAAACCCCAATACCTTATTGGTCCAAATTCTGTCACTAAAGTAACATCCAATCTTATGTAACTTTATTACATGTTTGATCTCTCCTTGGACCCTCTCGATCCATCTTACTGTATTTTCTAATAATACCAATATACAAGAGTAGGTTGAGAAGCTTACTTTTTATATTTTGAATGATGATAATATAAAACATACTACAATCTTTGGCAATATTGCCATAAGGAAATTATATATCAACCAAAGTTACTAAAATTTTATTATATATTTAAGCTCGATCTACTTGGACCTTCGATAATGCTAAAGAACAAGCTTAATTAGGATGAGAACGAAGCTTACTTAATTCTTAAACAATGTTTATACGTGTATCAGATATTTGCATGAGGCTGCCGTCAAATGAAGGGTCAAATTGGAGATCAATATCATAAATATGTCATCATAACTTTATGTTGTATAAATATATTACAGAAATTTTGTTTTTACACGTTATTAGGTATCTTTTATGAGGGAGAAAAAGACATCTTTTCTTATTTAAATGTTATTATTGATTAGCTTAACATTTTATAATCACATACATTAAAAATAATAACGTGATAGACTGATAGTATTAATTTAAAAGAAGACGGAAAGTAATTGCATTACAGTTGATATAATTGTTGAAGATATTATAATTATTGTATCATTAGCATTAAGCTATATCGTCCCGGATATATGGAAGAACTTTTCCATTTTTAAAATTTCCCCCCATAATTTTACATAAAATTTTGTCTAATTTGATGGGTGGAAATGTATTTTTTTATGGAGAAAGTGCAAAGCAATCTCAGTCTTTTTTTTTTTTTTTTTACAAAAAATGCAGTTTAGCACATATTACTAATTCATCAAGTGTTCAATATCATTACATAAAGTTCAGTCTTAAATGTCCTTATTATTTGTCAATATTAGTGTAAAACGGCCTAAATATGTTTAGAATTACACAAATATCACAAATTCTTATATGTGGTTGGTCACACCGTGTGGCAAGCAATAATGGAGGTTACTGTGTTAGTGTTATAGGGGTTACTCGGTCATTATTATAAGGGGTTACTTTGTCAGTGGTATAAGGGTTACTTGGTCAGTGTTATAGGGGCTACTTTATTATTATTTTAAGATCAGTGACATGGTGTGGTCAGTCGCACACAAGACGGGCTGAATATCACAAATATAAATACATAGACAAAAAAAATTAATTTTGGAAATTTTGTTTTTTTATGGATTTATTCTCAAAAATTAAAGTATGAACGATTTTTTTTCCTCTATCATCTTGACAAAAGTTGAATTAAAAAAAATAAATAAATAAATAATTAAAGACAACAAAAGATAACAAAATGCTAATTAACTATTAAGCACCTCCTAGTGTTTGTTATTTGTGCTTATAATTATAATTTTTCAGTGGATGCAAAAGAAGTTTGTCCACTACCCTAAAACCATAAAATATCTCTGCAATTAAAATTTTAATTAGACCCTACGAGGTTAATTAAATGGTTTAAAAAGGTTTAGGCTCTGAACTGTTGTCTGTCTGCCTTGTCGGCTGTCTTTGTTTGTTTATCATTCAATTTTATTTGTATTTAAGGTTGATACTACATTTCTTGTTTGTGAAGGTTCCATAAATTTATTTTATAGTTATATTATTGCAATTTCTAGATATATAATAAAGTATTTTTTTTTATATACAAATCTAACTGAAATTACTTCATATATGATGGATTATTAATGCACATTTTGTATAAAAGTCTATGATCAAAGTTAGACAATAAAAAACAGAACGATCACTTAGTTTAAGACTGAAAATTAGAGTAGCATGTCTATTATATATTGAGACATTAATTTTCTTTTGTTGGAAGAGTTGTATAAGTATGGCTAATATTGTATTCATCATACAACTTATTGTATGATATATAATTTTGAATCTTATTTGAAATTTAACAATGATATTGGATAATTTTGAATAGAGTATAAATCTAATATCATGAGCTTTTACCATTAGCTTAAATTTTTTTGTTGAGTTGGTTTTTTGACATAATATCAAAGCTAATATAACAAAAAAGTTGCGAGTTCAAATTTGATGTATCCTCTTTTTTTAAATTTAGCGGATTTTTTTTTTTTAAAATACGAACAAAGTAAGAAAATATATAATTGCCCATAGATCGAAGAAGTACATCATACATCTTGCATGCCTTTTAACTCCATTGTAGAGTTCCCATCACGAGCACGTGAAATCAATTAATCACCCATTACCCCATGTTGTACATGAATTTATGCATCTCATGCATATGATCATATGAGCATCAAAAACCTCTAATATTTACTCAGATTTCCTTTTCTCCAATATTCTCCATCTTATTCTTCTTTTATAAACAATACAAATTTTTACATAATGCTCTGTATTTGATTCTCCATTCTCAAAAATCATAAATAAATTAAATAAATAAATAAATAGAAAATAAAATTGGTAATTGGTAAGCAAAGGAACATGCATCTCCTCATCTTTCATGACAAAGCAAATGTCTTATTCTTTTTTCTATTTCACCAAATTGCACAAAACCATATATTATAGGTCTCTTTCCCTTTTCCACTTTATACTACTTTCTTTCTTCCCCACCTTCTCTATATTCACCTTTCTTTTTCATTTTTGTACTTATAAATCTTCTTAAATCATTATCATTTCATTAATTTTTTAAAGCTTATTTATTGCAAATTCCCATATTTTTAGGTATCTTCCCAAAAACCCACCAAAACCCTCCTCATGGCTAAGCTTAAGCTTAACTCCCTATACATCATCTTGCTTCTCTCCATAACAATCTCCAAATGTGGTAAGTGCATTTTTACTATTAGTTTTAGTACGAGGGATATCTCACCGTGCAAGATCAATTCGACAACTGTATTGTTTAATTCAACTTGTTACATATTTGTTGGATTCAACAATCTTTTATAGATGCCGTATGATGTTTCATTAATAAATCGATTTTACTTACTATTAAAAAAAAGATTGGAATTATTATGAGTTGAAAACTTCAAACTTACTAAAAATAGTAAATTTCTTGCAGGAGGAATTATGGATTCAGAAACAGGAAAAACACAGAGAAAACTACAGAGATTTGTCAGAAGATTAGATGATTCTACAACAAACCCAGCAAATTTCCCACCATCTACACCATCATCAACAATAATTACAGTCCCTGCTTCAAACCCCACCACCCCAGAAAACAACCAATTTCCAACAACACCACCTGCAACAACCACAATCCCTGCTTCCACCACCCCAACAACACCTACACCCATCACTAATCCTGCAAATACCGGAAATGTGCCGGTATCGAACCCGCCCGGCCAGCCCACAGGTGTTAGCACAGGGCAAAGTTGGTGTGTGGCTAATAGTGGTGCATCAGAGACTGCACTTCAGAGTGCATTAGATTATGCTTGTGGAAATGGGGCTGATTGTTCAACAATTCAAGATGGGGGTAGTTGTTATAATCCTAACAGTCTTGCTAATCATGCTTCTTATGCATTTAATAGTTATTTTCAGAAGAATCCTTCACCTACTAGTTGTGATTTTGGGGGTGCTGCTCAGCTAGTGAACACTAATCCTAGTAAGTTTTCTTGCTTAAATAAGTTTTTTTCCATTTTAATTTTTTATGATTTTCGCATAATTTAAGCATGTTTAGTGTGTCGATGCAATTAGTTTAGCTGGTAAAACTTTAGCGGTACCTAATATTCAGGATCAGTTATTATTTACATCATTGCTTTTTGCGACTTTCTATAAACCCAAAAAAGAAAATTGAGTGCTTTACTATTACTAGTAAGTAGTACAGTAAGATTTCGCACAAGGGTATTATTTCTGCATCATATATGAGTGTCTACTAATCTTATCAATAATCTAATCATTTGTTCTCATGAGATATGAATCATGATTTTTGCATCAATTAATAGTGTGAACTAATCTTAGTATGTTCTAATGTGGGGATTTGGGTGTGTAGGTACTGGTTCTTGTATCTACCCATCATCAGCATCCGGAACTGGAACCGGAACAGGAACAGCTATGCCTTTATCAACAACTCCTCCAACAACAGAGACACCTTCTTCAACATTCCCAACACCAACAACATCCTCACCTGGGACTACTGGATTACCATATGGGAGTCCATCATATGGGTATGCTATCTTATTAACTAACTAGATCTATATACACGTGGTGCATGCTTCAAATTTCATAAATACGTACAACTATTTTAAAAAATGACTTCATTTGTTCTCTTTTAATTGCAACGTAAATGAGATGCACTGTATTTTAGGAGAGGAGAGAGATAAAAAAGAATGACTCATGTAATGAGAAAAGAGATAGAGAGCATCATTGACCAAATAAAATAATGTTGCAATTAATTTGTAACTTTCTAAAAAGAATACGTTGCAATTAAAAGAGAATGGAGAGTTACCTTATACATGATTGATAAATATATTGAGAGAATATATGCTATAAACATAGAACTGTTTGGTTTTCGTTGTAAGATGATTAGCAAAAGGGGTCTTGGGTGTCTTGATTGTTGGCCTCAGTATAAGATGTTTCTGAAATTGACAGTCATCGATTCTTCGTCTAGAATTTACTGGAAACGGTTGGGGGTAAAGGTATTGGAATAATGTCGATGTTGATAGGCAGAATGAAACTGTGATAGAAACATTATTATCATCATATGAGTTAATACTTGTATCTTTTTAATATTCTTGCAGCAACTTTGGATCGTCTCCACCATCATTTTCAACTCCAGGCAACCCAAATTCACTATTTCCTGCAAGTTATGGACCTGATAGCCCTCCACTTGGATCTCTTCCTGCAGGTTCAGTTGCTCTGCGACCCGACTTCTGTTTCATCACCCTGGTAGTTTTCTACTTCACAGGAAAACTGATTCTGAGTACATGAGTTTTATTTTTTCAAATCAGAAAGTTAACAAGGATCCTAGCTAATGGTAAAAGAAAGTTATGCTCTTGTACAGATCTTTTAGACCTATGAGTTTGAGACAACGCAATATGGTAGCGGTTTACAGAATCACATTAGCTTTAGGAGTACTTAAAAAAGTGTTAGTAATTGGAAATCCAAACCACAACTTCAGTTGCCATCGTCTTTGAGATAATGAGTGCAGTTTGTAGGGAAGAGAGTTACTACATGAGATGCTCTAGATTAGGATTAGCTAGATTCGCATCAGCAGATTTAAGATGTATAAAGGAAACCCATGATTTGTAGATTCACGAGAATGTATTAGAAGTTGAGAGTTTTCGTGTTATATATTTCAGATTTCTGTTGAGGCAGATAATGCTTATGCTTTTCAGCAATGCATTTGTTCAGGTAATTTTGGCTACACATTGCTGATTAACACATTTTGCAATGTTTCACTGCACTTGCTCTGACATCATTAGAGGTTTAAAGATTTGATGAGTTGTCTCACGCAACACAAATCAAGTCATAAACTTGTAGCGTCGCTTCCATGTTCAAGTAAAAGATATACAGTATAGAGTTCGCCTTGCAGTTTCAGAGAGATGGTAGATTGGTGATCTAGTATAGAAATGACAATTACCACCACTAATTTCAACATTAGCACATCAAAACTGTCAGCATATGAAACAATCAGACAAATGAAATTGTCCCCATCTAAATAATCAAAAAAAAAAAAAAAAAACTTGGGTTACCACATGCTAGGTAGGTAGATAACAGGTTTAATTTTCATACCAAACTTAGTTGACTGATCATGAAGTTTCTTTGTTCTCTTCTCAACAACAGTCCAGCAGGCAGCAGAGAGAGATTCCGAAATAATAGCAGAATATTAAGGCAATAATTGAAGACATAATCGAGCTCATGATATTGATTTTCCCTCTAATATATATGCTAATATATAATCCTAAATTATACATTCATGTGGTCATATCACATGTTCCAGCTCTGGAATATTCTACTTATAGAGACATCAAAACGATGCTCTCTGCCGATGTACTAACTGTATAATGGGGGCAAAAAAGAGGCTCTTTTTTTTTTTATAGACACTGAGCCTCTGCAGTTCTTCCTAATACCCTAAAGATGGATTCCTAAGATAAGATTCCCTTGCATTCTACAAACTGTACTTACTAACAGCGATAATTTACCGCCTTGAGAAGACCACCAAGACCAACATTGACATGGAAACCAAAATCTTGAAGTTGGAACTTTCCCAGAAATTATTCTGCTTCTCATCACTCTTCACCGCAGCTTGTTGCTTCATAGCTAATTGATCCCTTAATTCTTTTATAGCCTTGTCCCTTCGATCCCCCGCCTGCCAGAAGCAGATCGGAAAATAACAAATTTAAACACAAAGGACAATGTGCAGAACAAGCAAAAAGACAACTTCAGTGTAGATCAGCACCACTAAGGCAATGAAAGTGATACTGATCTCTGCAGGAAAATATCAGAATATTTAAAGCAATAATAATAGAAAAGTATGCATAATATAATGTTTAGTACAAATGACCGATATTCCTTTTAAAAAAAAATAAAATACCAAAGACTGAAAGAGAATCATCATCTCTGCCCCCAAAGAAAAGGCATGGTGCAAAAAGGAAGAATGAACATCGGGTATGAAAGACATGGGGTGATGAGAAGCATTTTAAGAAGATTGTTTGCAGATGTTTGCTTGGAATGCAGATTAAAGTGACTGCAATGTTTAATTCAATGCAATAGAAGGAATTTGTAAATTACCCTCTGAAGTTTTCTTGTTTGAGAACGAGCATCCTGGAGACAGAACTCTAATTTCAGAACTCGCTTCTTCAGCTCTTGATCAGCCTTTCGATGTTTCTCCATCTATTTAGGAAACAAAACTCCAATTAAAAATCAATATGATTAAACTTGTATAATTATAAGAGGACATTTCAACAGCAATGGTCGTCTACCTGTGTCTCCAGATCCTTGACCTTTAGCTTATAATGGGCAGACAGAATCCTTAGCTCATCCCTTAGTTTGGCAATTTCATCATCCTTTGCTGACAAAAGCTTGTTCATATTCTCAAAATTTTTGGGGGAAACCTCATCTAATATTTTCCTCAGTTCACAGTCCATGTTAAAGCCAGATTCTGCCATGGCTTTCATGATATCATGCTCAACTCTCAGGACTTCGTCTTTCAATTGCTTCTGTGAAGACTCCCTCACTTGAAGATCATTCTGCAGTTTATCTAACTGCTCTGCCAGCCTCTTAACACGATCTTCGTGTTCCTTTATTGAATTATTCTTTTCATCAAGGTCCTTCAGCAAAGTCAAACACTGCAGTTGGGCTGATTGAGCTGAGGCAGCACTTGCATCTGCTGTAGCTCGAGTAATTGTGAGCTGAGTTCTAAGATCATCCAGATCTTTAAGGTACTGCTATGTATAAAGATCAGCAGTCAGCAAATAAAAATGTCACTGAGTTCATGGAGAAACTAATGTGTATAAAGATATGCAGCTAGCATACAATAAAGGTACATGCGCACAATAACACAGCATAAGTACAACATAAAATGATCTAGATAGATATCGCAAGATGCCTAATACGGAGTATGGCTACAATAATGCAAAATTCTTAGAACAGTTCATATTCTCAAATTTGTCAGAAGCTCTGTTGGATGGCAGTAACTAGACAAGTAATTTTACAAACGGGAGAGGGATGCACTATCCTATTCCTATATCAGACTCGAATGTTGTCTACAGTCTACTGACCATCAGTCAAATATGTGAAATCAGCTTTCAACTAGCAGCAACGCTACAATCTTGACTACATTCTTAAGAAAGGATCATAGACAATGTCATAGGGTGAAGGACATTACTTCCTTCAGAATGGGAAGTTGATAAATAAGGGAAAAAGATTATTATATTTAATCTAGGCCACGAATTAAGTGCAAGTAATTAAGTTCTCTTCCTATTCATTATAAAGTGTTTGAAATCATTGTCCTTCAAATCCAAATTAAATTGTCTTTTTAAGAGTTGTGCACATGGGATAAGAAATGTATATGATGCTCAATAAAGTTACCAAAGAACTCTCCCAAAAAAAAAATGCATTGATAACAAAGTTCCAAAAGAAAGATAGACTGGGAAACGAAGAAAGTCTATAACAACACTCATCTTGAACAAAAAGAAATTACTGAAATAACAATTATTCAGGATCGAAAGGAGTACAGGTTGTACATCTATTATCCTAACCATGCAGTTGATCCCTAAAGACCTTAGAATCTCATTTTTCTAAAAAGGGTACGGAATTAGACATTAACCCAAGAAGAAACAAGCATAGAACCTCAACTAATATGTATACCCTTGTAGTCAAATTCAGCCATGTTTACAAGTTATATACTCAATTAAGAGCAAAAAACTATTACAAAATTTACTAACATCTGGACAAAAATTATTACGAAAAGTACAGGTGCATATTCTTGATGCAGCTATGGTTTAGTATTATCACATGGATAGCTTTGTTTCTACATAGAATGTTTAAATAAAGAGTGCGATTACCATCCAAGTATCAGACAACCTTGGCATTTTCAACTTTGACCACAATCTGTACAAAGTACCACGTGATAAAAATAAATCCATTCAATCCACATGTCATTCCAAATTTTAGAAGTCTTGGGGAAAAAAATAACATAGATAACACATTCAATAAAATACAGTAGCATATTAATGAGGTTCCCTGCACTTCTTAAGTGACAATCCATCATCAACCTTGGTATGGAGCAAATATTTTTTTCCTATTGGTCCACTACTAGTATTCCTCTTGTATCTCTACCATCAGTTTAATTAGCTACTTTAAATGGTATAGTCTTTTTGTTAAGCTATATGATGGTACAAGACCATATTCTTCTTTGTAGGAAAAAATATAGTTGCGTAAAACAGTACATCCTATTTATGGCATTAGATGTATACAAATTTCACACAAGCTAACAACTCATGTGTCTTTGGGTGTAAAAACTAGTTACATAACTGAAAAGGAAGGTAACAAGTAATTGAGCTAAGCTATTTCTATCACAAAGGGATCCCAAAAAAGTGAGACTACTTGCTGGTATAACTAATCCCCAGTTCACAAATCTCTTCCAAACTTCTATACCACAAGTAAATTAGTTTTACATAATAGTAAGAAATCACCGTAAAAGTTGATGATAAACTTTGACTCCCGAACAGTGAATGTAGCAAAATAATAAGCAATGGACTATAAGAGAGAGTAGCAATGAATAACTATAGACTTAAAGCAACAAAAACACCTAAATTTAAAAGGGACAGAAAATTCTACATTGCACCAAGAAAAATACAAATAAAAGGCGCAATTTCAAAACGCACTTCAGAGTAGAGACAACCTTGAATCAATCAAACCGCAATTAAAGTAAGACAATAATATAATATCAGTTGATACCTACTTGGCAATTAGCTTTTTACATATTCCACTATGAAAAACACAGGAAAAACCAAAAGGATTACCTGAAAAGATAAGGTAATGATGTATGCAAATTCAACAAACAAAAAACAACCACAAAATTAACATATTAAAATCACAGTCAAACACATTTCTTGTAAATTTGTAATAAACCCAAATTGTCCCAGAATCAAGCTAAAAGCTATAAAGTTTGTACTATTATTCTTGATATACACATAATAAATGAACCAAAAATGGCTAAACAAAAGCTTAACTAAAACGCAGAATCAGGAGAAAAATTGGGTTTTAATGAGTGGTACCTTTTCAGCATATGAAGCTGATGCCTGTAATTGTTTATTTCTTTCCTCTAAACTTTTATGTAATCTATACACCTCTTCTTCCATCCCCTTCGCCTTCGCCTCGGCTTCCTATTAGATTTCAATAAACAAAATTAACAATCATTCACTTGACATGAACTCAAATTACTCAATTACACCAATTTCACACAAACTCAATTCAGAAAATGAGAACACTCAACAAAAGGCCGACATTTATGTGATCTGACACGACAAACATGTTGTATACAACACACTCCTGATACTCGTAGAATTGTAAATCATATCAAACCCAAAAGGACCCACAAAGCAAAAGTACCCAAATTCAACAAAGAACAAAAAGGGGCGAATTCAAATGAAATGATTTCACAAATCAAAATTATATTGACATAAAACAAAATTTAGAAAGATCTAAAGCAAAACTACATGCCTGCCTTGTTAGGGTTTCTTTAACATAAGATTGCTCCTTCACTGCCAAACGAGTTCGAACCTCCTTCAACTCCGCCGCCAACGACACCACGTTTCGCTTAAAGTTTTGCTTTTTCTCACTCAAATCCCTTAACAATGGATCAATTTCCCTGCCATTTGAGCTTGAAGATGAAGAAGAAGATGTGGGTCCCTCAGAAATTGAACCCATTTTTTATAACAAAGACAAAACCCAATTCAATTAAATCAAAATAATTCAGTGGGTTTTTTTATTTGAATTAAATTGGGAGTGGTGGAAGAAAAATGAGAGAGAATTTTATAATTAACAAAAAAAAAATGGAGTAACTGGAGAAATGAAGGGTCGACAAATTAATCAATTTTTAAGGATGCATGTGAATTTGATTGAGGTTGTTGATCTCTGCATTTAATTTATCCTTTTTTTATTATCTTAAATTCAAAGTACCTGCAACACCAAGAAAGAACGAACATCAGTTTGAATTAATTAATTAATTAATTCAGATAATAACAATAAGAATCAAAATAGATAGCTTAATTAATACGAGTAAGTCTACGACTATAATTAAATTAAAATTAAAAATATTCACAAGTAGCTTGATTTTTGTCTAATCTCATTGTATGTAATTAAGTAAACTGACCCCCAATAATTGACACTTTACTTTACTATGTGGTACAACTATGACCATCCATTAATTCCTCTCTCGTGAGTATCGACTGCCGCTGACCATGACCACCATCACTCGGTCCGTGTTCAGCGGTAAGATAGCGTTTTAGGTACCAGTTAGCGTTTTAATTAGTTACAACCACAGATAACCACCACCAATATAAATCCCAGACCACAAAAATTGGTCTTTAAAAAAAAGAAAAGGTGGAAATCTTACCGAGAGAAAAGCTCAAAGAACCATGGAAAATTAAGAAATTGAATTTTTGAAAAAAAAACCCAAAAAATCAGAGAGTGAAAAAGATTTCATCTTTGAAGAAAACAATTGACATTTTTGTAGGAAGTTTCAAGATTTTAAGAGAAATAAACAGTTACAGAAAACAGCATGGTTGACACGAGAAAGAGGTGAAAGAGGAGAGAGAAAATGAAGGAAGAGGGAGAACTGTCTGAAGTGACAATAAAGGGGGGAATTTTGATTTTGAGAGATTAGGTTCGGGAGAAATGTCCGAACCTTAGGTTTGGAACAAGAGACAAATTCCGAACCTAAAAAAAAGTTGTTTTAAAAAAAAAATATTTTTTTAATTGTTAAGAGGGGTATAGCGCGGCAAAATACAAAATTTGGACAATGAAAAGTGGGTTTAAGTTTTTCTCTCTCCTCCACGTAAGTGTGGAAGTGAGCTGTGAATGGTGGAGAAGTGGGTCCCATAAAATGGTGATGTTAAAGGGTGATTAATTTTGCACCATTTGGTTTAATAAGGATTGCAAGTTGCGTGTAATTAAAAGCTGTAGGGTTTTGGATTTGAACAATGATTTGATTATGGTAAAAACTTGGTGTGAATCGGATTGGATCGGATTGGATTATGATTTTTCTTTATACGTAATTGGTAATGGTTATTATGGATTTGTTATGTAATCACGTTTGATTTAAGATTAATTGATATCGTATATATTCTCTATTCAAATTTAATTTAGTTTGACCCATGTAAGGATTTATATATTGGTACAATTTTACAAGTATTGTTTATTGTAGTATTGATGCATGTTTAGTGTTTGTTCATAGAAGTAGAACTATAGAAGTGCAAAAAAGCTGTTTGTACTTCTCTAAGCTAGTCTTGTATTATTGCAAGGAAAGTATTCTAGCACGTAACTTTGACAATAATTATTTTTGAAAGTATAAATCGAGATGAAATTAACAAGACCCCTTGAGACAAAAAAAAAAATCCTTATAAAAATGACAAAAGGTTAAAAGATAATGAGTTAAAAAGCATGCAATGTGAAAATTCATTTGTTGCAGTAATAAAAGAATAGATGAAGTAAAGATCGCATTACCACACATTATTTGAATAAGAATATTACAAATTCGATCAGGCAAATTATCTGAAACACCCCTAATAATTATTTTTAGATAATAAGGATAAGATCAAGAAGTAGAAACAAGCCTAAAATAGACCACACGACGACCCCATATCTTACTAAACTTCTTGAACAGACTTTAAATGATACTTTGTAATTTCGTATTTCATTACCTCAATTTGTGATCGTATGCGGGAAAAAAATGGGAGTATATATCACATATGATAGAGTACAAAGAATACAAAGTATGAAGAATAAAAATAAATAAATAAATAAATAAAGTACAAAGTATGAAGAATAAAAAAAGAACACATGAAATTTTATTGGGAAATTCTCTTTGGTAAACTCGAACTTTTTAATTTCTCGGTAGTGAACTTTTAAAAAAAATATTATCAATGGTAAACCCTAATTATCTTAATTTACTAATCCATTGGTAACATTAAAGATATAATTAACTAATTCCTTAACCATGGTTGACCTTTAAAATCAAATAAAAACGAAATGACTAAGAAGCCCCTAATTACTACCCTCAACCTATTGTGTCTAATCAGAAGCTACAGTAACCCCCCCCCCCCCGACTGCACACCTTGCCACCTCCAACAACAACCAACTGTTGCTCTTCTCAAACCCCCGTAACAACCTGCGAACACCAGCACCCGCAAGCAGAGCACCTCACGCCTAGCCACAAGCATCCCACGCCACAGAGCAGTTTTGCCGCATTGTTGCTGCGCGCGCAACGAAACACCTCACCCGCAACCTGTACCCAGAAATTGAGGCAGGAACTTCTTAATTTTCGAGACCCATCTCAATTTCACTACATTATATTAAACCCGTTCAAACAAATTCGCAAGAAAAGAGGCTGATTTGTAGGATTTTGTGTGCGCGGAATAAGGCGGATTCGTCGCATTTGGCATTTAGGGTGGCAGACTGGCAAGGAATAGGAGAAGGGAGCGTTTTCGGGGAAGGGGAAGCCGGAGGTGTAGGGTATTGGTGGGTAAGTGAGGAGGATGGAAAGGAATCGGAGGTGAGGGAGTCAGGGAGGGTTGGGGGTCGCAAGAAGGGAAGGAGGGGTAGGGGATCGCCGGTGGAGATAGGGAGCTTGGCAGCGCCGGCTGGGGAAAGGGTTAGGTGGTGGCTGGGTGCGTGGGGGAGGGGAATTTTTTTTTTTAATCTAATTTTATTATTAAAAAATAAATAAATAACCACGGTTAGCCTTTAGTTGACTAGGGTTAGACTTATAATTGCATATAAATATCATTAATGTTACCAATGAATTAGTAAAGATAATTAGGATTTACCATTGCTAATAAGTTTTTTTAATGTTTACCACTAAGAAAATTAAAAAATTCGAGTTTAGCATAGAGAATTTCCCATACTTGTATGAGCATTCTTTTTCTTTGTGGTAAGGATCGAACTAGAATCACATAAGTACGTTGGAGGATTCGTGTATACGTTACCATGCCTCCACAAACATCATTATTGAATTTCATTACACATTTACACTTGATTAGTTGATTTACATAATTATATTCATTGCAAAATCAATTAGTTTTGTAATCTAATAAAAAAACATGCTCCCGACCTCATTTATAAATACAATTGACATACATATTATATGTTTTACAAATAACACCCCTTTATTATACATAATTAGAAAACAAATGTAGTATAAAATAAAATAAAATGGTGCAACTGTAGCGAGTGGATTGGAGGAAGTACTTGAATACGCCAAGATTTTAGGTTGCAGGGGGCTTAATAAATAAATATAGGAGCATGTCATAACATAAAAATGAACGTCAGTCGTCAGTGGTTGCCATACGAAGCTTGTAAATGTATTAACTCCATTCACGCCATGCACGACGTTGGTGATCTAATACTAACTGTTTAACTGCCCCACCATTATTTATTTATTTATTTATTTTTACTTTATTTTTTTAAACACAAATTATTGGGCTAGTCTAGCCTGATCAAACATTTCGTCAGTCCAACTATTATTATTACGACAATACAAACTCCTCACACCCTTATTTCTACTCACCACCACCAACAGTGCTCCTCCTCAATCCTACTTCACTTTCTCTCTCCTCCCTCACTTTTAATCCACCCCTATTTTCTCTCTCCTTAACTTTCTGCTAAATTCCTTCATTTTATTTGTCCATGATTTATGCTTGAATTGAAGAAGATGGAGAGGAGATAGAATATAAAGATTGTTGATTATATTTGTCCATGATTTATGTTTGAATTGGCTTGATCATTGCTTGAGATTCTCGGATTTTTCGAAAAATGCCCAAAAAAAATCGATTTGGGGCTTTCTTGTGTGATGTATAATTGTTGGAATTGATTATCATGTGTGATTGTATGTTGAATTGTGAGCGTTTTGATAACAAATGCATATATTTTGGTTGAGAAATAAGCATGTTATGTTATACCCATGAGCTTAGTACGGGACCTTTAATGGTGGTTCCGTCATTGTTGACCTTTTAATTATTTTTATAAAATAATTTCTATTGTGTAGATTATATCATATATAATAAGTTGGATGATATCCTCTATAAGTTGGATGATATCATGTATTGTGTCTATAATATTATATTATCTATTATATTTGTTTTTTTTATATCCTCCATTGTTTTTATGATACGAGTATCTTTTATGAGTTGGATGATATCCTCTATTGTTTTGATAATATCCTCTATTGTTTTTATGATATCTTATATAAATTGAATGATATCTTCTATTGGTTTTATGATATAAGCTAGATGATATCATCTATTGTGTATATGATATCATCAATAGAGTGGATGTTATCCTCTATTGGCTACATGATATCATTTATAATTGTGTCTATGATATCCTCTATTGGCTATATAATATCATTTATAATTGTGTCTATGATATCCTTTATTGGCTTGATGATATCATTAATAATTGTGTCTATAATATCATCTATAGGCTGGATGATATCCTCTACTAGGTATATGATATCATTTATAATTGTGTCTATGATATCATCTATTAGGGGTGTTCAGCTCCGGGTACCCGAATCCTCGGGTAGTTGATAAGTCGGCCCGTGTCCCGTCCCGGATAATTCGAGTACCTGGTATTCGTACCTAAATTATCCGGGACGGGACACGGATACCCGGATTTTATTTATCCAAGAAAGGAGTGAATCGAGAAACCCAAAACGTACCTCCGCTCCTCCTAAGCCACCATCAAAATCACCCCACCACCACCGCAATTCACCACCCACCACCACCTAAATTCACTCCACCACCACCAAAACCTTCCACCAACCCAGGTCCACCACCGAAACTCCAAACCCACAACGAAGCGACAACCCAACACTACCGATAGCCACAACCCACAATCGAAACCAACCCAACCAAACCCCACCCACACCAAATCGAAACCACCACTACCAAAATTTAACCAAAAATAATGAAATTTACCAAAAAAAAAAAAAAAAGCAGATAATTACCAGAAATATTATCATATAAATGGATTTATTAAAAATTCAAAAAAAATGAAAGAAAATTAAAAACAAGAAACCATACCTTTTAAACCGAAAACGGCCTTGAATTTCACCTTGGATTTGGTTTAAAACGGTCAAATTCGACCATGAAAACTCTAGATCTAGAATTTTCATGGTCGAATTTAACCATTAAAACCTTCGTTTTGACCATGAAAACCGAAAGAAAGAGAAAAAAAGAGGAGAAAGAGAGAGGCGTGAGAAAGAATAGAGGAAAGAAAGAAGGGAGGAGAGGAGAAAAGGAGAGCAACGAAACTCAAAAGGAGGAAAGAGAAAGCAGAGAGGAGAGGAGAGAGAAAGAGAGTGACAAGGGGAGGAGGAGAGAGAAAGAAGAGAAGATAGGGTGTGGGTGGGTAATGGGATTAATGGGTATCCGTAACTTTTTTGAGGTTTTTTTTTTTGTTTTTTTTTTGTAAACGAGTATCCGGGTACCCGATAATTGCAAAGCTTGTCCCATGTCCCGGCTCACGAAAGTGCTATTTTACCGGGACGGGTACCTGACCCGAAAAAAACATAAAATTTTGAAAATTTCCCGTCGGGTTTTTTGCCAGTTGTCGGGATATCGGGACGGGACA